TGCATCATGTGAAGCAGAGCAGAATTAAAAACAATTCCTCGCGCACGATTTCAATTGGAAAAAAGGGCCCCGGGAAGGGCGGAGGCGTATAAATAAGCAGCGCGCTGGGCGAGAGGCCACGCCTCCCCCCACAGCCACCCCCAGCCCAGCCCACCAGGGCCCCGCCCCCCTCCGCCTGCGCGTCGCCTCTTCGCTCCCTCCGCCCCCACGCTGGCACTTCGCGTTCGCCGGCGGCGCCTGTGACACGCCCCCGCTTCCCGACACGCTCTACCCCCCGCCCCCGGGCGGCGCGCCCGCACGCTGGCCCACCCCCGGCCCCCACTCGCCGCCAACCGAAGCTCATTTTACCCAATAGTTTCGACTTTCGAGAAAAACATTCATAAATTATTTGAAGTAACTACTCACAAATGCGGATAAGGTATAATATGTCACGACATAAGGGATAAATAATTTTCAAATTTTTTTAATTTCGAAAAAACAACAAAAGAATAGATCAAATGGCTTTAATGTAATGTTTATTCAGTCTATTCAGCACTATCCGTACAAAACCAATATAAAAAATGACTTGGGCTTTTGAAAAAAAAAAAAATGGGTTTTAGGCGTTTCGATAAGTCCTCGAAATTTTGGAGCGTATTTTCCATGGGAAAAAAGACTTATTAGAGTTTCGAGAAACTTCTGTACAGTCATTAGAAAGGCTTCTTATATGCACAAAATTCAATAATGTAATAACAAATTCACTGGGTAATTAGAAGAGATTATTAACGACGTTGAGAGAGGTTGTAAAAAAAGTTTACATTTGCCCATACAGTTTTTTGTAAAACAAAACAGGTATACCAGTTGAAGTTGCGTCGTGTTCATTTCTGCTATAGTGCAAGCTTAGGCACTCAAAAATTATTCGTAAAAACTAAATATTTAGTTACGCTAACGTTCATAAAATCCATTTTTCATTACCGTTGGTTGAATGGTTTATTTATGATGTCGGGATATATGGATATAAATGATGAAAATGTACCATTGGGCTTACGGGAGGGGCAGAGAAATACGTGCAAAGCAAAACCTGCCGAAAATATCCACTTCGGAAACCACAATTAATTCTCTCTTTTTACGGCCTCTCCTCCGACGCGAATATTTGTGTCAGGTCCCCGAGCGGTGGCAAAGCGTTCGTTATGCAGGCGCCGCTCTGGTCACTTTCCGCGTGAAAAGTGACAGCGAGGCTGATACCATGCAAACTTTAAGGGTCGGTGCCCAACGCTGAGATGTCTTCTTGAACGTATACTTAGTGTAACCAAGACAAGTCCTGCATTTAAGATTTATAATGAGTAATTTAATACTGATAGTTATTAATATTATTATTATTATTGTAATCAGGTGGAATTATGTCAATCCCATTCTTGAATTCAGTCCCATTCTTGAATTTGTGGAATGTTCAGATATTTTCACTCATTCAACTAAATTAAAAATATTGTGTATCTGACGTTTACTCTCTTCCACGCAGAGCACACATATCTTCTTTCTTCGACAAAAGTAATTTTCTTAGATTACATCTTTTTCATTATTATTTTTAAATTGAACTATTTAACATAACTTTAAGGTGTAAAAAAATTGCAAAGATGTTCCACAGTACAGTCATATTGAGCTGACAAACAATTAAACATAAAAATAAATTTATCAAATGAGAAGATGCAAAGGTTTCAGGCTTGATATTTGATACAAGAGCACACAAGCTCCTTAAACTACAACTACTTATAGCAACTCTAAAAGCTTTCGAAATGTTGTAGACGTCAAAATATTTAATAAGCATATTTTGAAGGATTATTGCATAATCCCATCGAGTCCACTCATCATACTGTCTTATGCGTTTAATTGAAAATAATAAACTGCGACTTCGTCATTCACTACTGTGTCAATTTCCACCAAACACATTTCTGCAACGAAAGTCGTACATCAAACTCTGATTTACCGTAACAATATTTTTTGTTGAATAGTTTGACTGCTTGGAAGAAAATCGCCTATCTTTGACACTAGACAAAGATTCAAGATCGAGTTCGCTTGGCCCTAAGAAGGGGGAATTTAGTCAGGACAGGGAAGGAACCATTAGGCGCGGTCTGTATGGTCTGTATTCTATGGTTCTTCTTTCGCTAGAAACGATGAAACACCGATCAGAGCAGTTTGGCTACAAATTAGACTTTGGTAGGCGCCACAAACTCACCGTTGCTAAACGCAAAACGCAAATTTTCAGCACCTTTTTGGAATCGAACGTGAGGGCTCCTTATCACTACAACACTCGAACCGTAAGGTGTTGTCTTAAAGGCCCATTCACAATCAAAACATAAATATAAGCATGGCGTTAACATAAAAGTTACAACTACGACCACAAGCGGACTCAGTCACAATGCGTTCGCATAAGCATAACACGTAAAACATTAACTAAAAAGCTTGCAAGCTTCAAGCTTCTGTGCTTACGCTTAAGTAAGACATAAGAAATGAACCAATCACAGTACGTTATCTCAAAATCGATTATCGAAGTAGGATCGAAGTCGATAGGCGAACTAACCCCATGTACCATGAGCCACAGACACAGCCGACGCCACGAAAACGATTCTCACATCCAACCAATAGTAAACGAAAAGATCTCTCAGCCAATAGAATTTCTTATTTTGCTTACGTTTATGGTAGACATACTTCATCCTATCACTTATGTTAATGTTTACGTCTTTGCGTTATGCTTATGTTTACATTTGCATTGTGAAAGTGCCTTAACGCTGGTCCCCACAATTCCAGATCTAAATAGGTTTCGATGGACTGGTTTATTTTCCATAACAACTAAATTAAAAGATTATTATGCAAGAAATATTTTAACATAATAATAATAATAATAATAATAATGATATTAATGATGATAATGATGATGATAATAATAATTAATAATAATAAATACTTTGTCTTGAACATAAAAATGAACACATTTAAAATTTTAAAAAAATACAGACTATCATGTATCACAAACTTTTATGTTTAAGTGCTTGGGATAATACAAACAAAATTGCCGCAGGTGACTCGCCCCACTCCGCACTGCCGCAGGTGACTCACCTGTCATGGTGAAGATGCCGACGAAGAGGCCGATGTTGCGGCCCGCCAGCATCACCTCCTCCTCGGAGTCGTTGCCCGACTCCTTCTTGCGCGCGGCCCAGATGCCGACGCCCAGGATCATGATGTAGAAGAGCACGATCGAGACGACTCCGGCGATGTTGATCATCTTGGCGGCTTCTGCGCAACAGGGCGGACCTCGATAATTCCCATAAACATTTTTTTTTTCACCGCAGGGGATTAGTAAGAATATGCGATCAATATCTCATTATGGTTTCACAAGTGTTATCTAACCACGTGTTACGATGTTTCATTAGAGATTTATTATTTATTTCCCTCCCCCCATTGCGAACGTTTCATCTAACCACGTGGTACGATGTTTCATTAGATATTTATTATTTATTCCACCCCGCCCCACTTCATTTAATAAGTGTTCGTTTAGTTTAATTAATTAGTTTAATTAATCGTTTCGCGAACGTTTCATTTAATAAGTGTTCTTTGATTACCATTTTTCTAAAATTTTCGTTTATGTTCCACATTATTTTGATTGCTATAGACGATTTAATAAGCAAAATATTTCCTCGCGTGGTAGCCTCTGGACGTGTTGTTACGCTCAGTCAGGTCGTCGTGGGGAGTCTATGGATGTGATCGTAAGCGGAACCGCGATGTTTCGGGAGCTCCTGGACGAGTTCGCTGGTGCAGACGCGCTTTCAACTATCCCCAGAGCTGTATGATGACTGGGAGATCTTGCGTCTGGGTAACTATGTGCGAGCGAGCTCAGCTCACAACGGGGCCCGCAATGAGAAGTATGACGCAAGACGCGTGACTCACAGTCGGCCGACTCGAAGCAATTAAAGGGTTAAATTGTAATGAATGCAAGGCTGGCGAAATGTGTGGTTTGTAACACAAAGTGTGTATCGCAAGTTGAGAAAGACGTCTTGTTCTCCCCACCACCGTCTCCCACTCCGTTTTCACGGTCAGCGATGTTTGACAATCACGATTTGCCTCTGGAATGAGGCGTTTAGCCACGTTTAGGGTTGAATCCTGAGGTTGAAAGGAGTGAGAGGAAACAAAATGTAAAATACTATATAGTAACACGCTTTGCTTCTTACCATTATTTTATATAGACTTTATTTTAAAAAGACTCAGAAGTTAAACTGATTCCCTAGTTTACGTGTGTACAAATTAAAATGAATTGAAGGTATTGCTAAGTTACTGAGATATCGATCACCATTCTGAGAGAATTTCAGCAAATACCCACCTATTTACCACTTGTTCTAAAGGAAGAAACAGCTTTAGAAGCTTCGTGCTTGAGAACTACCGGTCCAAGTGTATGAATACTGTTTGGTTCTGTTCCTGTACTAAAATATTCTCTTGTAGTTCTAAATTAAAAACTTCAGTACTCGCTCAGAGAGCTCTAAATAAATAAATGCTCTGTCACAAAAATAGTGCTCTGAACTGCGCGGCGGCGGCGGCGGCGGCGGCGATGGCGGCGACTGGTGCCGGCGGCGGCGCGAGGGTGGCGACGCAGAGGAGGCTAGCGGCGGGCAGAGGCGGAGGCGGCGGGGGCGATGGCGGAGGGCGAGGCGGGACCGGGGGCAGCGGGCGAGGGCCGGGGCCGGTGGCTACAGCAGTCGCCCCAGCGGAGGGAAGTCTTCTGCGAGGGGCTGTTCCTTGTCCTAAACGCCAGGCCGCACATGGGCGCGGAGTGGCGTCATCCAAGCGTAGGGCGGCCTCCGGCGAAGACGCGGCTGCGGGCGGACGACTCGGCTGGGCTCGCGCCTCCGGCTGCAACACACCAGGCGCGCCGCGCGCACTTAGCGATGGACGCGCTCAGCACTAGACACATTCAGCACTAGGCGGGCCCAGAACCTCACACTCTTGGCACCGAACACGCGCAGAACTAGGCTCAGCACTAGTCATGCTCAGCATTAGAAACGCCCAGCACCGATCAAGCTCAGCATTAGACATGCTTAGCACTTGTCATGATCAGCACCAATCATGCTCAGCACCGATCAAGCACAGCACTAGACATGCTTAGCACTAGACATGCTTAGCACTAGACATGCTTAGCACTAGACATGCTTAGCACAAGACATGATTAGCACAAGACATACTTAGCACAAGACATACTTAGCACAAGATATGCTTAGCACAAGACATGCTCAGCACTAGACACGCCCAGCACCTGACACGCTCAGCACCGAACAAGCTCAGCACTAGACACGCTTATCACTGGACACGCTCAGTACAAGACATGCTCAGAACAAAACATGCTTCACCCAAGACATGCTCATCATGAGAATCCCTCAGCGCTTGATAAGCTCAGCATGAATCACTCTCAGCACAGGGCATGCTAGCACAAGACATGCTCAGCACTAGACATGCTCAGCCCTAGACATATTCAGCCCTAGGCAAGCTCAGCACAAGACACGCTCAATAAAGGGCATACAGAGTATTAAACATGCTCAGAATGAGACACGCTTAGCATTGGACATGCTCAGCACAATACATGCTCAGAATCAGACACGCTCAGCACAAGACATACATAGCATAAGAATCGCTCAGCTCTAGATATGTTTATCACAAGTGAGGCTCATCATAAGGCACGTTCAGCATAAGACACAGCAACCCAAAGCATTCGTGTTCTCAACGCAACGTATCTTAAGCACTACCGACGTACTGCAGGATTTTGTCGAAACGACACATCCTCTACTTAACTCAAAGCTCGCGTGTCTATCCGACTTCCAATGCTACACCCAGGAGCTGATTCAATTTGGCGGGGAGGGGAGAGAAAGTCACGGTCCTGCAGTTCACCGTAATAAACTCAGTGCTCTTACGACGGCACCTGACTGCTAAATCGTTAAGCAGTCGTTGATTAGAAGCCGTAAAATTCTGGAATTGTCGATCAGAGAACTTCGATAATTGGCTACATAATTCCTTTTCAATAATTCTATTTAACGTGTAAATTTTTCTTTTCATCCTTTAAAATAATACACTTTATTAACGATTTCGAGGGCGTGTTGATTCCTATATTCACTATGAATTCACGATTGTCTGCAACTCCATTCACCTTCAACGAAAACGAAGTTCCCTTCCGTGAGTTCTTACTATATTTTTGCATGTTATATTCTTAGAAATCTATTTTAAAAATACAATAGGAAAGTGACAGATCTCATGAACACACCTTACTCTACAAGCGGGTACACTAAACCACAGTACAATGGCACAGATACAAATGACGTAGTCAGCTTCCTTTTTCAAGAGCTACACAGAAAGAATTGATGAAGGTAAATTTCGTCAAATCGTTGAAGCTACATCGTGTTGGCTCTCTTAACTTTGATATTGGTTGTGAATCGCCCGTTATAGGCGCTTTTCCTGGATTCGAAGAGATGGATGTATCTAGGTATCGTGTCGGCTCTAATGCACATAGGAATTAGGATCTAATGATTAAATCCTAACTACATGATGTACCGGCATTTCGGAACTTTACAGAGGATGATCGATTAAGCACCGAAATTCCATAAGATCGGAATTGCATATCAGAATGAGGACCCCTTCTTACCTTCCACTCTCACTCTAAATCGCCTTATTAAAGCCATAAAAATCTTAATTACCTTCTTCCTTTATGGAAGTTCTAAATCTAAAAGATACGAATTTATTTTGTCCCTCCTCTGTTCTGGAATTATGTGTGTGTAAGTAGAGACAAACAACTCAAGCGAGAATTTTATACACTGACTTAAACTCGTAAAGACTTCAGCTTTAGTCAGAAAAGTACAGATATTCTACGCAATATTGCCCCAGCTAACATACTTCCTGATGTATTTGCAGACATAAGATTTGTGCGATGCATTTTATTTTAAAATCAAAATGCCGCCTAGCGATGCACTTGATGATGATATATTTTATTTTAATGCAACGATTTACTTCTTTTTATCGAAAATAAATCACGTACAATACAATGAAAATTGTGGTTGCAGCTCATTAGTACTAATACTTTTAGCCACAACAGATCATTGTCGAGATTAGATTTAAGTTTCTCTCAACTTATACGTCAGACCTGGATTTTTCTGGTTATGCACCGGGTAGTATGATTTTCTAGGAAATGATATTCCCTTTAGAGAAATGGAAAGCTTCAAAGCCCGCAAGGGAATTTTAGAGTGCTTTTATAACAGTTATATGAGCAATATTGATGTTTCCAGGAGAGCTGCGAACAATTGAGAGTTGAATAGAAAAATGGCTTATTACGGGTAAAGCCGTTTTTCCGTTTCGGTGCTTATGAACTTCAATAGAATTCCGTGTACAGAATAACTATTAGAAATTCAAATAAAAGATATTAAAAAACAGAAGAATGCAGAGAACAAGGGATTTCGCAGTAATCAATGAACCACGGCCAATAGTTCAATGGACGAAGCTTGTACCATTTGCCATGAACTGTGACAATCCATTGTGCTGTTTGTATTCTCTGCTTCTACCAATAATAAATATACTGCATGACATTACCCACTCAGTGAAATAAATGTGACAAAATCATCAGTGAGATCTTTAAAACATTTTTCTGAAAACTGTGATTATGGGGTTAAGCAGTTCTTTCCTGCAACCCAACAATTTTCAGTGGTACTTCAACATACCGAAAAGAAGAAAAAAATTATTACACCAACGTACATACGTCTGACATAGTCAAAACATTGAAAGCTTGAATCTAATGGATAAAAGGAAAATCTATATATGGATAATGGATAAAAGGAAAATATATAAAAGCTTTCATAGCGTTCCTAGAGATGTGCTTGGGCGTCCCCCAACGTATAGGGTGACCCCGACATTTATACTCATTTCAGCAGAAGGTGGAAACGGAGAGTGTGAATTCAGAACGCCACCACTACTACGCATGCACAGATCTAGCCTTTCTTTAAATCGCTGCGCTATGCCCATGAAACATTCTAATTTACACGAGTACGTATATCTGATCCCGCGCGTACTAAAACGTCTTCAGCGAAATCTTACAACATAAAACGACCGGTCGACTGAGCGCGGTCGATCAAATCAGGTCGCAATTACGGAGAAATTTCCAGCGGCCAGTTCCACGGCGGAATATAAAGGCGCGCGGGTACGGGCCTCAGAGGGCTCTTCGCCGACCCTTTACGAGGTCGCGGCGCCCTCACGGCCCCCCTCCCTGCGCCTCCCACTCTAAGTGCCGTCTGGCGCTCCGCGCCGGACCGCCCCCGACGTCCTTTCTTTCCCTCCTGTCCGCGCCCCGCCCTCCCAGCCCTTCTGGCTGCCTCCGCCACCTCTCTCAACGCGCCTCTGCGGCCGTCTAGGTCCTCCCTTCTTGATCGCCCGTCCTCACCCGCGACCCCCCCCCCTCGCCGCCGCACCTATTACGGCCCCCGGCTTCCATCACCTCCCTACTTGCTCCCGCTCCGCCCTCCCTACACCCGCCCTCCTCTCCGCCCACCCGTCTCGCCTCTTCGCACAAATCCGGCCACCATTGTTCGTCAAAGCCGCCGCTCGCTTCGTTCCGCCGCCTACTCCACCCTGCAGATTGCCTCGGACGACCACTACGCCCCCCGACTTCCGCCAAACCCGACACGGCTCTGCTTCCGAATCTCCCCGCCGCTCGCCTCCTGTCACGCCCGCCTCCGCACTGCCTGTACGACACCCCCGCGCTTGTCTTCGTACCCGACGAATTCGTCTTCGCCACCCACTCCCCCGGCCCTACTCGGCTACCTTCCATCACCTCCACCTGCCCGCTTCTGCCCTCGCCTCGCCTCTCCCATCCGCTCTGCCTCTTCCCGCCACCCTGCCCCCTCCACCCTCAGCCACCGCGCCCCCTCAGTCCGCTAAGTATTCGCTGCCGCTACATAACCGACCTCGTCTCCGTACGCTCTTCCACCCCATCCGTCCACTAGTGTTTCGTCGACCTTTCTCTCGCCTTCGTCGACGACACGCCTAACTGCCCACCCTTGGTCCTCTGGGACGACCGCCACTCTGACAGGGTCCGTATCACTTCCGCCAACCCGCTACGGCTGCGTTCCCGGTACCTCCCGCGCCGCTCACGCATCCATCAGCCCGCTCGGCGCTGCCCTGCCCCACCCCACGCGCCTATGCTCCGCTCCGCCACCTGCCGCCCGCTACTCGATCCGCTTCAGCAAACCTCCCACCTGCCCGCTTCTCGGCCCATGCTCCTGCACTGCCTTTCCCGCCGAACTCCCTGCCGCCCTCATACATCACGCCGCGGCGCCCCCTCCACCCGCAATCCTACCTCCGACCACCGTCTCCGCCCTCTTTCCACTCACCTCCAGTCCCCTTATGTTCTCACCGCCCGCCTGCCTCCAACGGCCCGCCCTACTCCCACATGTCCCTTGGACCGCCCCCAACTTCGCAACGGGCGCCACCGCCTGCTTCCATCACCTCCACTGCTGCCCGTCTAGGCTCGCTCGCCTCCAACCGCTGGCCCCCAGTCCCTGCCTCTGCTTCCCGCCCCCGCCTACCATTGCCGATCCATCTCGCAGCACGCACCTGTGGCCCGGCATACTCGCTATCTTCATCACCTTCACCTGCTTCGTTTGCCCACCTTCGCCCCCGCTCCTGCCTGCCTCTTCCGCCCACCCCGCGTCAGCCACTGCGGCGCTCCCTCCACTCGCTATCGTCTGCAGTCGCCTCCGACATCCCGGTCTCGCCTCTTCCATGCACCTGCCTCAACCAGTGTTCGTCACCGCCCCGCTCGACTCCATCCGCCAGCCTACTCCACCCGCCTCGGATCGCCGCATCCACTCCGCGTCACTTCCGTCCCCGCCAACCTGACTGCCTCTGCCCGTCTAGGCCCGCTCGCTCGTCCTCCACTCGCCGCTTTCCGACCACCTCCCCCTACCCGCTTCCGCTCCGGCTCCGCCCCTCTCCAGTCCCGCCCGCCTCCGCCGGCCCACCCCCTGTCCCTCGCCTTCACCGCCCGCCTGCCACCATTCGCCTCCGACCTCTCGCTCTCCCTCCGACCGCCTTCTCCCGTCTCCGCTTCAGCAAGAAGCTCCTGTGCCCTCCCAGGCACGTGGGGGCCTTATCCGCGAATCCTGACTGTGGTGAATTTCCAACTCCAACTAAGTAGCTCTGCCTGAATTGGGATTCTAAAGGCCGGCTGCTCTGATCGGTCATTTCCGTGGTTTTAGCCCCTCGATTCCAGGCGAATGACGGAGATATACTCGCAGTCTGAAAATAGGTCAGGGGTTGCGCGGTATTCTTCCTTTCCCAAGTTGCTTCTATTCTCATCCTTAGAGCAGATCGATAACCTGATGCCCTCCCTCTGATGCCCCATCCCCGTTATTTCATTTACTACCGCACCTCTGATAAAGAAATATCCGTCCGTTCTTACACTGTGCATATCTCTGATATGGTTGTTACAATCTGTTGAAATTCTCAGTGATTCTGGAAACTTTTCATTTTCCCATTTCGTTGAATTCCTAACATTCCTTTCTTGAGCTTCTATATTATTTTCATCTTTTTTCTTGTCTCTAACGCATTTCTTTTTTACACTGAGCGGTATTCTTCTTTTCCCAAGTTGCTTCTATTCTCATTCTTAGAGCAGATCGAAAACCTGATGCTTTCCTTCTGATGCCCCATCCCCAACTATTACCACATCTCAGCTATTACCACATCTCTGATAAAGGAACATCCTTCCGTTCTTACACTGTGCACATCTCTAATATGATTGTAACAATCAGGTTGAAATTTTCAGTGATTCTGGAAACTTTTAATTTTTCCTTTTCCTTGAATTCTGGAAATTCCTTACTTCAGATTCTGTATTGTTTTCAACTTTTTTCCTCGTAACTCTAAAAATACTAAATATTTCTAATTTACACCTATTTCATACATTTCTTCATTTATTTTACATGTAATCCCTCGTCTTTTATATACCATTTACAAACAACAGCCAACACTTCTTCATTGTTCCAGCATGTGCCTGGAATTTCTTTAAGAAAAAATATATTTTACTCAGTGAATGTTATTCATGGTTCGCGATGCACTTAGATATCGCGCTCGCATTAATCTGAAAAGGTTCATAATAAGTAACGGAACCAACGACTGGAGAGGTTTGCTACTAGAATTCTACAACTGCGATGATTATCAAAAATCGACCACTTCCGTAATATGAATCTTCATATATCGCCCAAATAGAACAATGTTAAATAGAGCACATCCTCCTATGTCTCTGTAGACACCTCCGCTTTCAAAACGTAAAATCGGCCTGTTGCGCAAATCAATTTCTTGTAGCTAATATACTTAATCAGGCAAAAATAGCTTTGTTTCATAGTGCGGTTGTCAGACCCTCAAACCTATATTTAAATAAAATGGAAAGTGAGTCTGCCTGTCGCACGCGTCTGTCAGTCGTGTTGTTGACTAGTAATGCGTTTATGGTATCTCAAGCGCCCCTGAACAGAAGCTCTATGCAACGCGCCGCACCGTCAAGTATTAAGCATGTCTGTGGTTGCATACGAGTATTCTGCCCCTGCGATTGTGAAATATTGGCCGATATATTATTACTTGAACGTTAATTCGGACAAGAAAATCAAATTTTTCCAAGACAGTGTCATAGCGAACGTATGCACAAATAAGAGGGAAAACGTTTAAATAGGATATTTGACAACCATTTCCTAACCAGGACACAAAATAAACCCGTATTCGCGAGAAAGTCTTTCTTCTAATAGAATTTTTGCAAAGCGTAACGTAAAATGTGAGTAAAACATGACCAGTAGCATGTGATGTGTAAGACGCTGACATATTAAAGCTTTGCCGAGTCCACTGGTCAAAAATAAAAATAGTCCTAGAGAAGAAATACAATTCAGCGGATGTCGAAAAGTA